TCATCGCTGGGTTCGGAGGTAGTGGTGGTGGTGTCGGAGGTTGTGTCAGGGTTGGTGATGTGCGAGATGGTCGGGTGAGCGGCCGTCGTTGCAGCAGTGGAGGAGGAGGAGGAGGGCGAGGAGGAGGAGGAGGATGAGGAGGAGGAGGAGCAAGAGGAGAAGGAGGAGGAGGGGGATGACAACGAGAACGAGGAGGAGTATTTGGTGGAGGGGGAGGAGGATGGAAGTGGTGGTGCAGAAGAATTATCAGAGCAATTTGACGGCGGAGAGAAGGAAGAAGAAGCGGGCGGGGGACGAAGTTATGTGCAGTTTGAGAGGCGCAGTTGATCCGGAGATGTCGAACAAGTCCGATTCGAGCCCGGAATGTCCGTTGACATCGAGGACACGTTAGTAGCGGTTGTGCGTCGCAGTTGCGTAATGGGAGAATTTGTGATTTGCGGGCTTAGCGTTTCGCTTTGGCGACAACGATGCGGATGGATTCGTTGATCGCAGCGCCAGTCTTCACTGTCCTCCTCCAAGTCGGTCGGTAGAGGGTGAGCTTTTCCCAGTTGGTCGGGTTGATTTGCAGGCGCTTCAGGGTGGACTTCAGAGTGTCGTTGTATCAATGAATTTGACCATCTTGGCGGCGAGAACCCGTCGCAACGTCTCCGTAGAAGAGTCGTTTGGGTAGTCGCTCGTCGTCCATGCGCACCAGATGGCCGCTCCAGCGCAGCTGCATTTTTCTCCGCACGACGTAGATGCCGAGGATTCCCGTCCGTTGCAGCACATCTGTGTCGGGGATGCGGTCCTGCCAATTCAGCCTCAGGATGCGACGGAGACAACTGAGTTGGAAGTGGTTCAGTCGGTGTGGCTGATTCGTGTTCACCGTCCAAGTCTCCGCTCCATACAGAAGCGTCGGCAGGATAACGGCCTTGTACATCTTTAGCCTCGTGCTCAGTTGGAGGCCATGACGATTCCAAACTGTGCTTTTGAGGAGACTGAAGGCTTGACTGGCTTTCGAGATCATGTTGGCGACTTCGTCATCGATCTTGGTTTTGCGGGAGAGGGTGCTGTCCAAGTACGGGAAGTCCTCCACCATTTGCAATTGGGTTCCGTTGACGCTGATTTGCGGCGACGCGTTGTGGGCTGTGGCTGAGTTGGGTGGCGGTTGATGCATCACCACGGTCTTCTGCGTGTTAATGACCTGCACAAAGTTCTTGCAGGCGGCGGAGAACAGGTCCATGCTCCGTGGCATCTCCACTTCCGATGGGGTGTTCAGGGCGTAGTCGTCGGCGATGAGAAGTTCGTGAACGGTGGTTGTGGATACGCGCGATTGGAAGTGCATCCGCCGTTGTTTCAGCAGGTGACTGTCAGTCCTGTAGGCAATGCGGATCCCGGGGTGCTCAACACGATCGGGGTCCATCAGCATGGCAGAGAACATAAGACTGAAGAGGGAAGGTGCCAGCACGCATTCATTCTTCACTCCGTTGGCCACTACGAATGCCTCTGAGACAGCTACGTTGTCCATGAATCGCGCCATCATACCGTCGTGCAGCTGACGCACCATCTGAGTGAATCGCTCCGGACAGCCGTAGTTTTGCATGATCACTCATAGTCCTTCACGATTCACCGTGTCGAAGGCTTTCGTCAGTTCCACGTAGGTAGAGGACAGGTGGGTTTGCATCTCCTGGCACTTCTCCTGAAGTTGACGGTCGGCGAAGATCATATCCGTGGTCACGCGATGACAACGGAGGTCGCATTGGCTTTCCGGTAGGAGGCCCTGTTCCAGATGATTATTCAGACGATTGAGGAGGATGGGAGCGAAGATCTTCCCGGCAATGTTCAGCAAGGAGATGCCGCGTAATTGTC